GATGTGACGTAATGACGCAAAGACATGCTCGAATCTCCCGCGGAAATCCACCAGTACCACTGGAATTAAAAACATTATTACAAGCTTACCGTTTTGAATCGAGCTAAGGCAAGCAGATAGTTTTGAACACTGGCTGGTTATGTATTTTCTCAAATATGTATTTTGGATAATTTTTAACCCCAAAAAAGCTACGGACTGCAGCTTTAACCCTACCCAATTAACATAACCACTACAACATCAACTTAACTCCTAGTGAACATATACCCTAATCTAGTGTGACCAAAAATACCAAAATGATATACAGGTCCTTCTAAAAAAATTAGCATATTGTGATAAAGTTAATTATTTTCCATAATGTAATGATAAAAATTTAACTTTCATATATTTTAGATTCATTGCACACCAACTGAAATATTTCAGGTCTTTTATTGTTTTAATACTGATGATTTTGGCATACAGCTCATGATAACCCAAAATTCCTGTCTCAAAAAATTTGCATATCATGAAAAGGGTCTCTAAACAAGCTATTAACCTAATCACCTGAATCCACTAATTAACTCTAAACACTTGCAAAAGATTCCTGAGGCTTTTAAAAACTCCCAGCCTGTTTCATTACTCAAAACCGCAATCATGGGTAAGACTGCCGACCTGACTGCTGTCCAGAAGGCCATCATTGACACCCTCAAGCAAGAGGGTAAGACAGAAAGAAATTTCTGAACAAATAGGCTGTTCTCAGAGTGCTGTATCAAGGCACCTCAGTGGGAAGTCTGAGGGAAGGAAAAAGTGTGGCAAAAAACTCTGCACAACGAGAAGAGGTGACCGGACCCTGAGGAAGATTGTGGAGAAGGACCGATTCCAGACCTTGGGGGACCTGCGGAAGCAGTGGACTGAGTCTGGAGTAGAAACATCCAGAGCCACCGTGCACAGGTGTGTGCAGGAAATGGGCTACAGGTGCCGCATTCCCCAGGTCAAGCCACTTTAGAACCAGAAACAGCGGCAGAAGCGCCTGACCTGGGCTACAGAGAAGCAGCACTGGACTGTTGCTCAGTTTTGCATGTCATTCGGAAATCAAGGTGCCAGAGTCTGGAGGAAGACTGGGGAGAAGGAAATGCCAAAATGCCTGAAGTCCAGTGTCAAGTACCCACAGTCAGTGATGGTCTGGGGTGCCATGTCAGCTGCTGGTGTTGGTGCACTGTGTTTTATCAAGGGCAGGGTCAATGCAGCTAGCTATCAGGAGATTTTGGAGCACTTCATGCTTCCATCTGCTGAAAAGCTTTATGGAGATGAAGATTTCATTTTTCAGCACGACCTGGCACCTGCTCACAGTGCCAAAACCACTGGTAAATGGTTTACTGACCATGGTATTACTGTGCTCAATTGGCCTGCCAACTCTCCTGACCTGAACCCCATAGAGAATCTGTGGGATATTGTGAAGAGAAAGTTGAGAGACGCAAGACCCAACACTCTGGATGAGCTTAAGGCCGCCATCGAAGCATCCTGGGCCTCCATAACACCTCAGCAGTGCCACAGGCTGATTGCCTCCATGCCACGCCGCATTGAAGCAGTCATTTCTGAAAAAGGATTCCCGACCAAGTATTGACTATTGAGTGCATAACTGAACATAATTATTTGAAGGTTGACTTTTTTTTTTGTATTAAAAACACTTATTTTATTGGTCGGATGAAATATGCTAATTTTTTGAGACAGGGATTTGGGGTTTTCATGAGCTGTATGCCAAAATCATCAGTATTAAAACAATAAAAGACCTGAAATATTTCAGTTGGTGTGCAATGAATCTAAAATATATGAAAGTTTAATTTTTATCATTACATTATGGAAAATAATGAACTTTATCACAATATGCTAATTTTTTGAGAAGGACCTGTATATATCCCCACCCCCCACGTCTTGTTATCTGCAGCTTTAACATGTAAAAACATTGTTCTCATCTCACTGTATTTTACCATGGTAGTAAGTTTGCTTTGTTTAAAGTGAACTGGAATGAAGGTTTCCGCTCCTAGAGTGAAATGACCTGTAGGTCATCTTTATTTATCCACACAGTTACACAGTAAGACTGAGTCTGTCATTAACCAAGACTGTGCATTTTATTTTGTCTGAGAGAAAAAGAGCTAATATAACAGATTACAAGTAATGTTGTGAAACACTGATAATGTGACACTTATCTAAACTCGACATCGAGCCAAAACTTAGCGGCTGGAGGGGGAGATCAAAAAGAAAATAAGAACTGAGACAGAATATGCACAAAACTAAAAACAAGTCATCGCCCAAGCACAAGTGATTTATCACAGAGAGACAAAATACATCGAGAACATTTCAAATACACTGATTTAGAACATTTAAACAAGAGACGGCAACAGATACTGTACATAATTGGCCATAGATTTCCTCCCACACAAAACAAACTTTGAGAATACATTTCTCTCATTCTAGAAGCTGTTCAAACTGTAACTTAATTGCAAACCTTGATGAGCACATACTGTTCCTTGCCTTGGGAACAAGGCTGCTGAACCACCACATTCTTGCAGCTCAAGCTGTGGTCAAACATACTGCCATGTAACAACGAATATACTGTATAACTTGCACACGCCAGGCTTTAGACAGGAGTGCAGCACAGAAGCAGCAAGGTGAACAATAGCAAAGGTCAGGCTGAGGTAATCCAGGTAACTCATGAGTCCAGAAAGAAACATAGCAGAAACAGAGGAGAACAACAAAGGCATATGAGAGGACATAAAAGGAGAGGAAGACAAAATAAGGAGCGGGAAACATTTTGCCCAGGAACAATCAGTGCTTCGCCAAGGTTAATTAGTCTGCAGAGGCAACACCACCATTTTCCTCATTCATCACCCAAACTCAGCATTTATGTGTTAAAAGTTAAAGCAACTCTATGCACTAAGGCAAATAGTGAACAAACGGTTATGATGCAAACTAAGATGACTGCTGCAACTCTGCAAGTGAAAAGTGTTCAAAATAAATTATAAAACACATCACATGCCAGAATGAAATATTAAGCCATAAAGAACTCAAGTCATTATATACACAGCAGTTCAAAAGTAAAACAGTACAAAATTCCTTACAGTATAGTACAGTTAAAAAATTCCATAAAGGCTGGAATACATACATTAGGAATCATACATTTCCCGATTTTATAAATAGTTAAAGAAAACTGGGCATCATACACTAAATGACTGAGGATCAGACACTTTCAAATCGTTCCGAATCCGAACACAACAAATTCACGCATGAAACACGTGCCATGTTGCTAGGAGATGAATTTGTGTGACAAATAAAAACAATATGTTCTAAAATCAGCTCAATCGTCCAAATGGATGGAATCAATAGTATGGAGCTAAAAAAAAATCAGAGTCTGTGCCCATCATACACTGCGCAATTTATGAAATCTTTCAATTCAAATCTGCAGACATTGGTTCTGACTTTCGGCAACTATAAACTTGTTCGGTAAATCTGGGCAAAAGTCGTGTAGTGTATTCCAGCCTTAAAACTGTATTTATTTTATTACAAATACAGTAAAACAGTAATAATTTGAATTATTGTTACTTATGAAATAAATCCTTATTTGTTATTTAGTTATTTGAATATATTTTAAAATGTAATTTATTCCTGTGATCAAAGCTGAATTTTCAGCATCATTACTCCAGTCTTCAGTGTCACATGATCCTTCAGAAATCAGTTTAATATGTTGATTTGGTGAGCAAGAAACATTTTTTACTATTATCAATGTTGAAAACATTGTCCTGCTTAATATATGTTTTTGCAGGATTCTTTGATGATTAGAACATTTAACAGAGCATTTTTTAAACAGCATTTATTTAAAATTGAAATCTTTTGCAACATTTTAAAATATATTTACTGTCATGTTCGATCAATTTAATACATCCTTTCTGAGAAACGGGATTGTTAAAAATTACTGAGCCTAAATCTTTGAACAGTAGGCTATATCACAGTTGAATAATTCATATTAATTCAATAATTCTGCATTTAATTAATATAACAAAAAACCCTGAATAATCAAGTCAAATAGTAAAAAAGACAACAAAGACACCAATCAATGTATCAATAAAAGTATGTAATAATGCAAATGTAATAATAATAATTTTAGGAATAATAATAATTATTATTATTATTATGAGTTTTAATAAGAGTCTTTCAAAACCCAAGGTCGCCTTAAAGAAACAGCAAGAAATTATAACAAGAACAAAAACACAAGAAACATAATATGAACGCAGGTTTACGCATTACACTCGCTATACTACAAACTGCTTTTCACTTCAGATTGATCTGCTCTGGATAGACAAAGCCCTGCTAATCATAAATAAAAGATTACACAGCTACTGTATGTACACAAAGGTGCAGACATTAAGTGGATCATTATTGCCTTATGCATCAAACCTTGAATAGTGTCATACGGGAAACATCAGTCCGTGTTACAGTATTATCAGTAGTAATCATTACTAATGCTTCAAATACATAATTTAGCTCTAGAAATAGCTTGAATTTTTAATGAACAACATGACAACAGACAAGCTTATCTACATAGTAGATGTTATCTGTGAAGCACTTGATGTGTTCTTGGAGTTGTAATAATAGTGTGTTGAGTCTGAAAGCGGCTGTGTTTTGAATGAAAGCGCTCGTCACCTTAGGCATGCTGCCAAACGCATGCAGCCTCCAGTGACCAAGTGGCTACCTTTGGCCTTTCTTTTGCGTTTGTCGATCCTTCTCCCTTTTTTTCTTAAACACTCGCCTCCCTCGTTCGCCTCCTCTTCCCCACCCCGTCTCCGCTTTAAAAAGAAGAGCGGAGCGGAGCGGAGCCGGGATCCGGAGGACTGGAAATAACCTTCACATGGACACTGTTCAGCGCTATCACTCAAACGCACGGGCTGTGTCTCTCTCTCTCTCTCTCTCTCTCTCACACACACACACACACACACACACACACACACATGTGCCGAGAGGGTACGTACCACTCCGTGGACGAGGAACTCAAATAGTTTGCTCTTGGTGGCTTTGCGAGCTCCTCCAGCGGTCTCCTCCGAAGCCATTTCCCTCTGGTCTCCCTCCACTCTGGTTCTCCCTCTCTTTTGTCTTTCCCTCTCCCTCGCCTCTCTTCCTTTTCACCCTTCGCTCACCTCCTCAACCCCCCTCCGAGGCTCCCTGCTCCACTTCCCTTACTTTCTGCTCTCTCTCTCTCTCTCCCTCTGTCTCGGAGTGTGTTGCCCTGTCGAGCCTCTCGCTCTCTCTGTGTCTCTCACGCTTACGTTTGGTTGAGCTGCCTTTCAGGAGCCCAGCTGCTACAGAACGTGGGGGGTTGAGAGTTGGGGGTCTTTCAAGGGGGTTCCTGCTGGCCCACCATGACCGTCCCCCCTCCCCCTTTTACAAACACGCTGACTGAAAGCACACACGCTCACAGGCTGCTGCAGCTGTTGCATTCCATTGGTAGATAAGGGAATGCTCGCTGACTGGTCGCTCGCAGCCCTGCTGCGGTGTAGTTAGTCTCGCCGCTAACCAAACCCCTCCTTCTCTGCCTTCACTACTGCTCTCGCTCGCTCTCCTGTCCTTTGCTGCATGCAGACAAACCCAGCAAGGCTTGGACTGCTCATTCTCAAAAAAAAAAATGGAGGGAGGATCCTTAAAGCAGCAGCAGTGAGGAAAAGCTGCCCGTATTTAGACACAGGTCGGAAATAAAACTGGTTCAGGCAGCATTGAAGGCTGATTTTTTTTTTTTTTTTTTTTTACCTCGTTACTGGCTGTCTGTCTCAAATAAATATGAATACTTGAAATGATTACCTGATCTCTCATTTTTGTGAGAGACATGTCAGTCAGAGATGGATTTTGTTATATTGATGGATTGTACTTTGGACATTGTGGGTTTTGAAGCCATTCCTTACCAACAATGATAATGAACAGTAATAAATAAATAAAAATAAACATACGGTAACACTTTAGATTAGGTACACACATTCACTATTAACTAGTTGCTTATTAGCATGCATATTACTAGCATATTGGCCATTTATTAGTACCTATAAAGCACATATTAATGCATTAAAGGGGTGGTTCAGGATTTTGGACATCGGGCCTCATTTCCAAGTTAGCCTGGGTGTTATTTATCAGTGGAGACAGTTTTCAAAAATGTTCATCCAGTCGTTCCAGTTGCATAGTTCGCCGGTGCTAGGCTAGCGCGAGTCAACGGTAACTGCTAGCCTGCCATTAAAAACAGTTTTACCCACTCCACAGTACACCAAAAGAAGATAAATGATAACGCCAGACTATCGATGTAAATGTCTGTTGAGAGAATAATGTTAGAAATCAAACTATTCTTGCTGAATAACAGATTTTTGATTTTCAGAAATGTCTCCCTGTATTTTTACAAATTCAAAAATGACTTTTTGTTAAAAGGATTTGAGGAACATAAAAAAAATATATTTTGAAGAATGCCTCATGGTTCATACACTGAAGTCGGCAGGGGTGTAAAGTCCAGGTTCAGAAAGTAAAAGTCATCCTCAGTATTTTGTTCCTGGATATGTTAATTAGCACAGTTTTTCAGCCAGGAGATAGAACTAATTAGTGAAATCAGCTGGCTGAGTTCATGGGTGAAATGAACATATGGCAGGACTTTTACTTTCTGACCCCTGGACTTTACACCTCTGATCGGTGGGGTCCAATATTTTTCCAAATATCTTAGTGTTCCTCAGAAGAAAGAAAGTCAAATGGTTTTGTTTCCGTCACTGTCAAACAGCAAGATTGGTGGTCTTATTAATGGTATTTGTACAGTGGCAAAAAATGCGAAACTGCTATTCAGTAAAACAGCATGTTATATTGCTTGATCATTATATTGTTTATTTACACGAAGGAGCTAAAATAATATTTACACTTTAAACTTTGGCACATTAGCAATAAACAACGGTATTTTGAAAGTCTGTAATCATATTTAGGATTGAGGGTAATAATTTAAGAACTGTACACTGAAAAAAAAAACATTTATTGACCAAATATTGGCGTGATTCTAGAAAGTGTGTGTGTGTGTGTATATATATATATATATATATACACATACATATAATACAGTGGGGCAAAAAAGTATTTAGTCAGCCACCAATTGTGCAAGTTCTCCCACTTAAAAAGATGAGAGAGCCCTGTAATTTTCATCATAGATACACTTCAACTATGAGAGATAAAATGAGAATTTTTTTTTTTTTAGAAAATCACATTGTGGGATTTTTAATGAATTTATTCGCAAATTATGGTGGAAAATAAGTATTTGGTGAATAACAAGGTCAAAGGTCATCAGGTCAAACGTTTCCTGTAAGTCTTCACAAGGTTTTCACACACTGTTGCTGGTATTTTGGCCCATTCCTCCATGCAGATCTCCTCTACAGCAGTGATGTTTCAGGGCTCTCGCTGGGCAACACAGACTTTCAACTCCCTCCAAAGATTTTCTAAGGGGTTGAGATCTGGAGACTGGCTAGGCCACTCCAGGACCTTGAAATGCTTCTTACGAAGCCACTCCTTCGTTGCCCGGGCAGTGTGTTTGGGATCATTGTCATGCTGAAAGACCCAGCCATGTTTCATCTTCAATGCCCTTGCTGATGGAAGGAGGTTTTCACTCAAAATCTCACGATACATGGCCCCATTCATTCTTTCCTTTACACGGATCAGTCGTCCTGGTCCCTTTGCAGTAAAACAGCCCCAAAGCATGATGTTTCCACCCCCATGCTTCACAGTAGGTATGGTGTTCTTTGGATGCAACTCAGCATTCTTTCTCCTCCAAACACGACGAGTTGAGTTTTTACCAAAAAGTTCCATTTTGGTTTCATCTGACCATATGACATTCTCCCAATCCTCTTCTGGATCATCCAAATGCTCTCTAGCAAACTTCAGACAGGCCTGGACATGTACTGGCTTAAAGGAACACTCCGACTTTTTGGGACTTTAGCCTATTCACCTTATCCCCCAGAGTTAGATAAGTCCATACATACCTTTTTCATCTCCGTGCGTGCTATAAGTCTGTTTGACGCACCCACCGCTAGCCTAGCTTAGCACAAAGACTGGATGTATATGGTTGCAGCTAGCATACTAATCCAAATAAGTGACAAAATAACGCAAACATTTTTCTATTTACATGTTGTGATTTGTATAGTCACAGAGTGTACAAAAAACAAAGTCACATGAGACACAGACATATTTTAACCGTATAAATACTGGGAACTATATTCTCTGAAGGCGAAGCACTGCTACTTGGGCGGAGTGATAACCGCAGCACCTGAGACGAGCCGTGGTGAGGAGCAGAGAGCGAGTCTCAGGTGCTGCGGTTATCACTCCGCCCAAGTAGCAGTGCTTCGCCTTCAGAGAATATAGTCGCCTTCAGAGAATATAGTTCCCAGTATTTATACGGTTAAAATATGTCTGTGACTCATGTGACTTTGTTTTTTGTACACTCTGTGACTATACAAATCACAACATGTAAATAGAAAATTTTTTGCGTTATTTTGTCACTTATTTGGATTAGTATGCTAGCTGCAACCATTTACATCCAGTCTTTGTGCTAAGCTAGGCTAGCGGTGGGTGCGTCAAACAGACTTATAGCACGCACGGAGATGAAAAAGGTATGTATGGACTTATCTAACTCTGGGGGATAAGGTGAATAGGCTAAAGTCCCAAAAAGTCGGAGTGTTCCTTTAAGCAGGGGGACACGTCTGGCACTGCAGGATTTGAGTCCCTGGCAGCGTAGTGTGTTACTGATGTAGCCTTTGTTACTTTGGTCCCAGCTCTCTGCAGGTCATTCACTAGGTCCCCCCGTGTGGTTCTGGGATTTTCGCTCTCCGTTCTTGTGATCATTTTGACCCCACGGGGTGAGATCTTGCGTGGAGCCCCAGATCGAGGGAGATTATCAGTGGTCTTGTATGTCTTCCTTTTCCTAATAATTGCTCCCACAGTTGATTTCTTCACACCAAGCTGCTTACCTATTGCAGATTCAGTCTTCCAAGCCTGGTGCAGGTCTACAATTTTGTTTCTGGTGTCCTTTGTGTGAGTTTGGAGTGTGACTGTTTAAGGTTGTGAACAGGTGTCTTTTATACTGATGATAACAAGTTCAAACAGGTGCCATTAATACAGGTAACGAGTGGAGGACAGAGGAGCCTCTAAAAGAAGTTACAGGTCTGTGAGAGCCAGGAATCTTGCTTGTTTGTAGGTGACCAAATACTTATTTTCCACCATAATTAGCAAATAAATTCATTAAAAATCCTACAATGTGATTTTCTGGATTTTTTTTTCTCATTTTGTCTCTCATAGTTGCAGTGTACCTATGATGAAAATTACAGGGCTCTCACATCTTTTTAAGTGGGAGAACTTGCACAATTGGTGGCTGACTAAATACTTTTTGCCCCTGTATATAAAACTTCCACAAAACTATTTTCAGTTAATTTAATTTATATATTAATTTATATTAATTTACATTAATTTAGCTTACCGGTATATATATATATATATATATATATATATATATATATATATATACACACACTCACCTAAAGGATTATTAGGAACACCATACTAATACTGTGTTTGACCCCCTTTCGCCTTCAGAATTGCCTTAATTCTACGTGGCATTGATTCAACAAGTTGCTGAAAGCATTCTTTAGAAATGTTGGCCCATATTGATAGGATAGCATCTTGCAGTTGATGGAGATTTGTGGGATGCACATCCAGGGCACGAAGCTCCCGTTCCACTACATCCCAAAGATGCTCTATTGGGTTGAGATCTGGTGACTGTGGGGGCCATTTTAGTACAGTGAACTCATTGTCATGTTCAAGAAACCAATTTGAAATGATTCGAGCTTTGTGACATGGTGCATTATCCTGCTGGAAGTAGCCATCAGAGGATGGGTACATGGTGGCCATAAAGGGATGGACATGGTCAGAAACAATGCTCAGGTAGGCCGTGGCATTTAAACGATGCCCAATTGGCACTAAGGGGCCTAAAGTGTGCCAAGAAAACATCCCCCACACCATTACACCACCACCACCAGCCTGCACAGTGGTAACAAGGCATGATGGATCCATGTTCTCATTCTGTTTACGCCAAATTCTGACTCTACCATCTGAATGTCTCAACAGAAATCGAGACTCATCAGACCAGGCAACATTTTTCCAGTCTTCAACTGTCCAATTTTGGTGAGCTCTTGCAAATTGTAGCCTCTTTTTCCTATTTGTAGTGGAGATGAGTGGTACCCGGTGGGGTCTTCTGCTGTTGTAGCCCATCCGCCTCAAGGTTGTGCGTGTTGTGGCTTCACAAATGCTTTGCTGCATACCTCGGTTGTAACGAGTGGTTATTTCAGTCAAAGTTGCTCTTCTATCTGCTTGAATCAGTCGGCCCATTCTCCTCTGACCTCTAGCATCAACAAGGCATTTTCACCCACAGGACTGCTGCATACTGGATGTTTTTCCCTTTTCACACCATTCTTTGTAAACCCTAGAAATTAGGGGTGTAACGGTACATGTATTCGTATTGAACCGTTTCGGTTCGAGGCTTCCGGTTCGGTACGCATACAAACCGAA